CACCGCCAGTTCCTTACACGGTGCATCGGCTGGAGCAAGCGGAAGCGCTCATACCGCCCCCTGTCCTATGCCTAGGTACTCGTCCAGGCAGGCTGCGAGGAAACCATCGAGGCCACCGTGCGCANGGCGGCATGGTTCATGAGGAAATGGCACAGGCAGGAGGCGGAAGCGTCCGCGAAGCGCCAGCGCGCGAGGGAAGCAGAAGCAGAGAGTACGGCCATCTCAGGACCGAAGAGAAAGAGAGTCGGGGAAGCGGTGGTGGGGGGGAAGAAACTGCGACCGGGCACTGCTGTAGAGGCGAGTAGGGCGGCCGAGGCAGCACTTGTGGCGAACTATGTACCCGGCTGATGTTGTTGCGCCCTGTTTCCCTCCCTGCTGTATGCTATACTACTTTATGTATGTCCTTTGTATTGCCTTCGGCTTCTGTGCTGTGTTTCTCTTTTTCCATGTCCGCCCTGCCTACTCTGCTGTGTTGGGTACCTTGATCTCGCTTTGCTGTTGCCTTTGTTTTTGTACGTCTGGCTGTCTGCCCATCTGCCGCCTCTTTGGCCTGTTTGCTCCGTTACTCCCATGCCCTGGCGCGTAGTGCCTGGTGCTGGTACGTTAACCTTTGATTTTTTCTTTACGCGGGTGTGGGAAGCGTCCTCCTTTACTTTTGTTTTGTTTTATTTTGATCGTTGTCCGAGGGCTCTTTTCTCGAACGGTCGGTGCGATGCCTGTTCGTTTCTATCATTTCGTTTTCTTTTTCCTAGTGGTTTGTACCGTATTTTTTGTATTGTTTCCCCGCGGCGTCGTATGTGCCGGGTTTTGAGACAACGGGCTCCCCATTTTTTGTGGACTATAGAGCTAATGTGAGAAACAACAACAACTGTCCCTACCTTTACCTTGTTATCAGGCGTAGTTACGTTAGTCGTCGGGCCGAGCATGTGCCAAGCTCGCTGCGGTATGGGCATGACCGCCATGCCGGATGGGCACAAGAACATGACCACAAGAATTTCACGTGCCAAGTCAAGAAAACCGTACACTAACACCTGCCATGGTATTAACTTCAATACACCATGGTGCAGGTGCTCAGTCAAGAAAACCGTACACTAACACCTACCATGGTATTAACTTCAATACACCATGGTGCAGGTGCTCAGTCAAGAAAACAGTACACTAACACCTACCATGGTATACTTCAAGAAGTTGTTGGGCTGTCCCACCGAGAGACAAGGGCTTCTTTTAAAGCGCAGGCGCGATCCACAAAACGCTCGTTGGGGGCAATGACTGTAGACATGTTCTTCTGGACGTGGATCCGGTAGCTAGATGACACCAAGGACGCACATGACTGATTTTCGGATCGCCTTCGCGAAAACAGGAAGTTCACGAGGAAACAGAACAGGGAGGGGGGACGCAGACCCTAGTTCCTAGCACGAATTCAACTTCCCTGACTGTATACTTTGTCCAACATGTTAACAAGATCGAAAAACCCTGCAAAGGCTACCGTGATTTTTTCTCGTATAGGTGGATGGGTCTGGTTTCGAATCTTGCGCTACGCCGTCGTGCGCTTCCACGCGCCTGCAGGGCTGGCTCTGTGAAGAACCGAGTCCGACCAGTCCGACCATTTCAACACACATGAGACTGCTGCATACCACAGGATTGTGATCCTTCACGTCTCGGTGGTCAAGTCCGCTGGGCTCTTCGAGTCTAGACACGCCAGCTGTGCGGGTTGTTCGGGCTTGGGGAACGTCACGGATGGCAGTCAGCAAGCTTTTCGAGCGTTCATTCTCAGCAAGAAGTCTTTTGTGTCGTGCATCACTCCTTCGATGGCACCGCTGCGCAACCTTGAGCCCGCCCCGGAGGACACCCTTATAGGCTGAAGAAAATATCCTACCTTGAAGAATTAGATACAACTTACGTTGTAGAATAATGAGCATATCCTAACGTTGTAGAATTATGAGAATAAAACCTACGTTGTAGAATTAATAAGAAAATTACCTGTGTGCGTCCCGGACCAGTCAAGTGCCCAGGATGAACCGCTGGTGGTGGTCCTAGCTCGTCGTTGTCGCTGTCGTTGTCAGTGTTTTCCTACTCAAGCATGGAGGCATTTTGCCGGCAGGGGGGGGGGGGGGGGG